CCGAAAACCAATCCGTTTGACTATTGTGTCTGGAGTTATTGGAAAGCAGTGTTGGCACTAAAAAATACCAAAGTGTCGATCACCTCAAGCAAGCGCTTCGCCGGGAATGGGCCAAAATACCGCTGAGCAACATTCGGGCAGCGTGTGATGAGCTTCATTGGCCGTTTAAAGGGCATAATTCCTGCCAAAGGTGACAAATTCGAACAAATCTAAACTTATTCTGAAATTTGATGCTATATCCGACATTTTTAGCTGAGGGTATGAAGCCGTCGATAACACCGACTAATTCTATTTAACTTATTTTGTTTTGGTCATTACCACAATTCCCATACTATTGTTGAACATGTGGTGCATATATCGGACACTTTGTGGTTGTCATTTTGTTGAGAGGCGGAAAGCAATATTTATGGTCATTGAATAGTTGCCTTTCTATAAGAAAAATCGGGTTTTCATTGCTGGATGTTAGCTGTATAAAGACGCCGTTCGTTTAGATTCAGCAAAGAAAAGTTTGATAATTAAAATATAAAAATTTCCAAAAAAAAATTCAAACCCAACCTAATGTGAGTTCAACCATGCTGCTGATGCTTGTGCAAAGGGCAATACATTGTTTTAAATGCAAACACACTTATATGCACACAGATTGATGCACATGCGAAATACAAAAATAACAACAGCGGGAATCTTTATGTAAATTGAATGACAGGACTAACATACAAATGTGCACTACATTGTCGTTGGTAATTTCAAATTCCATAGTAAACTGTAAAGGATTCAGTAAAATTACCACCTCGTCATCATCGTCAACGCCACCAACATCATCACCACCACCACCGCCGCCAAAGTTAACGCCAACATCCGGAATAGTAAATTTATCGTTTTTGCAATTTACCAGGCTTCACTCTACTGTATTTAATTATTTTGTACTCTGTCGCTGTCCTCTTCCTCTCCCTCTCTGCTATGCAACGGAAAGTGTTAAAAATTTAATGTCATTTTACGCGAGAAGTGCTATGAAAAAATCGTGACCGGAGTGGGCTTATTGAATACATCAATGTACAGGAAGTACAAAGGTGACATATGAAGTGACTTTAACAATTTATATTTATTGACAACAACGTAAAATGTCCATAAATATTTTGAAAGTTCACGGTATTATGTCGCATCAGTGTTGTCACTGAAACTTGCAGAGTTGAAGTAAAAAGGCCAATAATTATATTTTTCCAAAGGAATTTGTATTACCTTTGAGTGTAAAATGTGCAAGTTCAACGGAGGTAGGGGTGGTATTGGCAGCGTGTTAGGTTACAGCATGTACTTTGATCTTTTACAGTAATCTAACGTCTCAATCAAGGATTGGAAGGAATTCTATTGTCAGAGATCTTAATAAGTATTCAAGATAGATGTGCAAGGTTTCTACGGCAAGATAACCCCATAAAACTACTAGATACGAGAGATCTACCGATATATCAGGATTCTACATTAATTACAACTCAAGGAAAGGTCAGGCAGAGATTCTTAAGCAAGAGACGAGGATGGGGGAGTGTTCTAAGTATATACGACGATTCTGTTGTCAGAGATCATAATTAACTCTCAAGCATAGATTACAATTACTCTTTGGTAAGAGATCTTAATAAGGACTCAGGTCAGCATGTGGGAGATTTAGGGCTTTAAAGTCTGTACAACGAAGGACTTTTATACGGGGGAAGTTCCGCCCATTTTTAAAAATATTCAAGTTAAAATTCCATGGAATGCAAGCAATTTTCATATACAGCGTCTTCGCCCATAGCTAGTATGGAGGGTGTATTAAGTTCGTCATTCCGTTTGTAACTAATCGAAATAATAATTGTAGATATAACAAAGTATATATTGCTTGATCAGCGTATAATTCTAAGACGATGTAGCCCTTTCTGTCCGTCTGTCCATCTGGTGTAATCACGCTAGAGTCAAAACGAATAAAAATATGAAATTACCATTTGGCACCGATCAGTCTTTTGTCGGCAGGCAGGTCAAGTTCGAAGATGGGCTATATCTGGCCACGATATCGTACAGCCCCTATATAATGGTACCCCCCGAAATTCGGCATTTTGATGATGGTATCCAATTTTTTCAATGATATTGTCTGAAAATCCATAAAAGGGGCTCCTTCTGAGTACTCTAGCCCCTGAAAGAGTATTGTCTATACAGGGTGAGATAAAAAACTGCAACAAAGTCAAACGCCATAATTTTTACATTTTTTTTCAAATTTTATTGAATGAAAGCAAAAAAAAGTCGGAAATAGCATAAAATTTTAGAATAAGTTTAGATTTGTTCGAATTGGTCTCTTTTGCAACGAATTATGGCCTTCAAACAGCCAATGAAACCGTCACACGCTGCCCGAATGTTGCTCTGCGGTATTTTGGTCCATTCCCGGCGAAGCACTTGCTTGAGGTGGTAGTTCTCAGTGCCAACAGTGCTTTCCAAAATATTCCAGTCACATTAGTCCAACGGATTGGTATCTGGAAATTCCAACCGGACTCAGCACGCGCCACCTTAGAATGGTTACAAAATGAGGTTCCTGGCTTCATTTTGTAACAATTCTAAGGTGGCGCGTGCTGAGTCCGGTTGGAATGTCCAAAGTCTGCGGTCAAAATGATTGCGTGCCCAAGGCTTTAATACACCCTCCAGAATATTTTCGCGATAATATTTGGCATTAATTCTGATGTCACGGTCGATTAATACGAGTGGAGAGCGACCATCGGCGGTAATGGCGGCCCACACCATCACCATAGCCGGCGCTTGAGTTCTGGTGGCCGACTGAAGGTGTATATTTTCATCTGACCTCTTTGGCAAGTAAACACGATCATTTTTTTTCAAACTGCAGGACAACGAATGTTTTATCATCAGAGAAAACCAAATTCGGCAGTTCACCACTTTCGGCCAAGCGAAGTAACTCTTTAGCTCTTTTGAGTCTATTTTCTTTCTGTTGCGGTGTACGTTCTTGCACTTTTGGAATTTCAATGGCTTTACCCCGAGCTCATTTGTCAATATTTGCCGATTGGAATATTGCGATATGTTCAGCTCACGTGCCATGTTTCTGTTACTGCGACGAACCATTTCTGCTGATGTTGCTGTTTTCTTCCGTCCACTTCCTTGACGTCGCGCTACGCTACCAGTATCACGGTAACGAGTGATGGTACGAGACATAAAGCATCCATATATATCTTAAGCTGATTTCAGGTTTATTGTGCACCATTTTGTGAAACTTGGTCCGGTATATATATTGCTCCAATAAATAGTCTTTAATATAATGCTTATCGAACTCATATCATGCACTATATAGCAATGTTATTTATATACTAGACTATCAAAAGCCTCCGTCAAATTTGTTGAAAATCGATTCAGGGTTGGTTGTAGTTCCCAAATAGTGACTACTTTAAAGCCATGATGTGTTACCAGATATCTTAAAGAGCTCAGAAATACCTTTGCCAAATTTTATTGAGAACGGCTGAGATTTGGATATAGCTCCTCTATATACCCTTAATCCGATTTCAGGTTTTTTGGGCAAATAATGGCTAATTTCAGCCCAAATGAATTTACATGAATTTCGGGACGTACGTTCCCATTTTGTGGAATTCGGCTCCAATATATTTTTATACCCTACACCACATAGTGGTAGGGGTATTATGTTTTTGTACATCTGTTTGTAACATGGAGAAGGAAGCGAGATAGACCCTTAGTTACTTTTGAGGATCTGCATGGAATCACTTTCTGAGTTTATTTATGCATGTCAGTCCGTCTGTCCGTGTCCATGTATTCTTGTGAACAAAATGTCGGTCGCATTTATTATCCGATTGAGATGAAATTTTCCAAACAACATTTGTTTGGACCAAGGACGAACTCTATTGAAATTGGAGATAATCGGTAAAACTTTAGATAGCTTCCATATATATATTTTGCAGATTGTGCACCAAACGTGTAATATCAGCCCGAATAGTATGGAATTATGCACATACAACCAAATCAGGCCTGAAAATACGTATGCCAAATTTGATCGAAATCGGTTCATATATAGCTATAGCACCCATATATATTGTTCATCCGATTTGTTATTTTTGTCCTCCGCAGCCGTAATATGCATTCTGTAACAACTATATTTGGGGAAATATATCAAATGCAGCTCAATAATACCTTTGCTAAATTTTATCGAGATCGGTTCAGATTTGGATATAGCGCCCATATATAACTTCGTCCGATTTACACTTTATTGTGCACCAAACGTCTAATTTTTGCCCAAACGGGATGGAATTTGGCACATGCGACCGAATTGAGTCTAGAAGCTACCATGCCAAATTTGGAGAAGATCGGTTCAGATAAAGCTATAGCAGAAATAGCAGCTCAGAAATATCTTTGCCAAATTTTATAGAGATCGGTTCAGATTTGGATATAGCTCCCATATATATCTTTATCTGATTTCAAATTAATTTTGCACCAAATGGGCAATAAAAGTCCGAATTTAAAAAATACAAATGCTTCGGCATATTTACTCCTTTGAACTTTAAATAATAATTATAATCATAGCGTGTATGATTAAATTCTCCCAAAAAACCTTTTAATTGATATGTGGAGCTCTACTAAATTAGCAAAGTGGTGTAGGGTAGCATAAAGTCGGGCGGGCCGACTTCCTTTACTGGTTTTAATATAATCCTTCTCGAATTGATATCCTACACTCTATAGCAATGCTATTTGGCATAAAAGGTTAAAATGTCTCCGCTAAATTAATGAATATCGATTCAGAATTGGATATGCCTCCCATACATTAGTTCCCTCTGAAAGCAAAAATGTTGACATGTGGTATGATCTACTTAAAGTAAATTATTTTTTTACAGGAGCTCTACTAAATATGCGTAGTGGGGTAGGGTATCATAAAGTCGGCCCCGCCCGGCTTATGACTTTTCCTTACTGGTTTAACTTTAAAATGTTCTACGGCCCCTAACTTATAATATCACTTTTAAAATAAATACAATTAATTACAATTTAAAGACTTAATTTTATTGACAAAATTACTATTCCCTTGGAAGTTAAAGCTATAGATTCTGCTTTCTGTACTCCATGCGTGCGTCATGGAGGCTAGATTGACGTGGTCGATTTACCGAAAAACTCCGTGGACTTCCAAAATTGCCTCTGGGACGACCTACTGGACCTTGTAGCACAATGTGATGGCCGCTATATTGTACTGGGGGACGACTTAATCCGATTTTGTGATTATTCACATGGCTATAGTGGGGTCGTTGGCCATGACGTTGAGTCATCACGCTGACAAACAATGAAAATATAATCAGCAACTGAAAAAGAAATATAAAGGTTATTTTAAGTCATTATTAATTTTTTTTTAGTAAATTACAATTAGGTTTAAAATTTTTGTCATTCTCTTTGCAGTGGTGTAACCTAACACGGTGTCAGCTTGGAAATGTCGTTTACCTCGGAAGACTCACAAATTTTATAAACAGTTCCAGGTAACTGAGTATTAATTGTATTCTACCTGTATTAAGAAATGTATGGATATGTATCCCATTTTCTGAGAAATGCCATTCGTAATATTACGAACATCTGCAGACGAGTAAAACAAATTTGCAAATTACCAGCAATAATGGTTAAGGAGGGAAGACTACGGATTAGACACTTGCCACATTAAAGAATAAAGGATATTGTATTTAGTGCAAATAGGCATTTTTTCCTTAAAATAACCTTTGTTATCTCAAACCAGTAAGGAAAGCTCAAAATTCGGGCGGGGCCGACTATATGATACCCTACACCACTATGCATATTTCGTAGAGCGTAAAAAGGTTTATACAGGGCATTTCAGAGCTCTATGAGATATTTGGTACAAAATCAAAATCTATCTAATTCTATCGTGCATTTTACGAACTATAGCTATCTCTGAACCGGGTTTCTCCAAATTTTACGTATTAGTTCCTAGACTGAATTCGGCCTTATGTACGAATGGGCTGATATTGGCCATTTAGTGCACATTTAACCCTAAATCGGATGAAGATATATATGGGAGCTATATCCAAATCTGAACCGATTTCGATAAAATTTAAAACAGCTATACCTGTGCTCCATCTAATACCTGGTACCAAATATCACGGTTGTGGAGTGAATATTACGAATGTATGGGACTAAAACACGGATGAAACATATATATGGTTGCTATATCTATATCTGAACCGATTTTCACTAAATTTGATATACTTGCTTCTAGGCTGAATTTGGTCCGATGTACTAAAATTCAGTCCATTTGGACTTATATCGGCCATTTGGTGCACAATTAACCCGAAATCGGAAAAAGATATATATGGGAGCTATATCCAAATCTCAACCGATTTCGATAAAATTACAAACAGCTATTTATGGGCTGTATCTAATATCTGGTACCAAATATCATTCTTATGGAGTGCATATTACGAATGTGAGAGGCTTAAACACCAAATCGGATAAAACATATATATGGGAGCTATAGCTGTTTCTGAACCAAATTTGTTGTATTTGCTTTAAGGCTAATCTCGGTCACATGTGCCAAAATTCGGGCCATTTGGGCTGATATTGGCCATTTGGTGGTCAATTAACCCGAAATCGGATGAAGATATATATGGGAGCTATATCCAAATCTGAACCGATTTCGATAAAATTTAAAACAGCTATTTCTATGCCCCATCTAATACCTGGGACCAAATATCACGGTTGTGGAGTGCATAGTAGGAATGTGAGGGACTTAAAGATCAAATCGGATGAAAGATATATATGGGAGGTATAGCTATATCTGAACCGATTTTCTCCAAATTTCATACACTTGCTTCTAGACCGAACTCGGTTGGGTGTGCCAAAATTCAGGTAATTTGGACTGATAGTGGACATTTGGTGCTCATTTAACCCGAAATCGGATGAAGATATATATGGGAGCTATATCTAAATTTGATCCGATTCTCACCAATTTCAATAGGGTTCGTCCTTGGGCCAAAAAAATATTGTTTGGAAAATTTCATCTCAATCGGATAATAAATGCGACCTGCATTTTGTTCACAAGAATACATGGACAGACGGACGGACGGACAGACGGACTGACATGCATAAATCGACTCAGAAAGTGATTCTATGAAGGTTCTCAAAGTAACTATGGGTCTATCTCGTTTCCTTCTCCATGTTACAAACAAATGCACAAAGACATAATACCCTTACCACTATGTGGTGTAGGGTATGAAAACATATAGATCAAAGTTAATACTCAAGATGAATATTATGTAGTGCCAACTTCATTCACAATACATCGATACATTCACAACGCTTTATATATTTGTGCATTTGTTCGAAGGAAACGAAATGGACCCATAGTTCCTTTTAATGATTTTTATAGAATCATATTCTGAGTCGATTACATGTATTTTTGTAAACAAAGTGCAGGTCGTATTTATAGTCTGATTTACACGAAATTTTCCACCAATCATTTGTATGGCCCCAGGACAAACCCTATGGAAATTGGTGTCGATCGTTCCAAATTTAGATATATTTTATTATTTATTTCAATTTTATTGTGCGTCATATGTTATATATTCGTCCACATAGGATGTATATTGGCATATTTGGCCGAATTTAGCCCATAAGTAGGTACTTTAAGTTTGGTGAATATCGGTTCAGATATAACTATAGCTCCCATACATATTCTACATTCGATTTTGTGTACAGCAATGACACTTGGCATAATATAACTTATGGAGCTCAAAAACACCTCTGTCAAATTTTATCGCGATCGAATCAGATTTGGATAGAGCCCCCAGATATAGGGTGAGGTAAAAATCTGCAACTAACTCAAACGCCATAATTTTTACATTTTTATGCCCTCCACCATACCAAGGAGGGTATATTAACTTTGTCATTCCGTTTGTAACTCCTCTTGATCAGCATAAAATTCTAAGTCGATTTAGTGATGTCCGTTTGTATGTCTGTTGTAATCACGCTATCTATCGAACGAATTAAGATAGAAGGCTAAAATTTGGCACATATGTTTATTTTTCCAGTAGGCAGGTTAAGTTCGTAAATGGGTCATGTAGGTACACATTATCATATAGCCCCCATATAACGGTACTTCCGGATATTCGGTATTTTGATGATTTTGGCGACATTATTCACCGGAGTAGTTTCAAATTACATATTTATAGTTCGTAATGGGAGCTACAGTCTGTGACAGAAAATTGTACACGCAGGTCCAGGTCTTCGTGTAGGCCCCTATATCAGTACGTCCCTATATTCGACATTTTAACGATTTTATGTACAATACTCACCGAAATTGTTTGATATGTCGTACGTGAAGTTCGTAATGGATGCTACAGCCTGTTACAAAAAATTGCACATGCAGGTCTAGGTCTTCGCATAGCTCCGATATAACGGTACCTCCCTATATACGGTATTTTGATGCTTTTAGCTCATTATTCACCGTGTATTTCAAGTATTGAATTTGAATCTGGTAATGACTTATGACAAACAAAGCATATGTAGGTTCACGTCGTAGAGACCCCAATGTAACGGCTTTATTCGGTATTTTTAAGATTTTAATTTTTAACGGATTTTATTTTTTGAAAATTTCCAAATTTGTTCCAAATGGGGGAGGGTATTCAAAGTTCGACCCGGCCGAACTTACTGCTTTTTAACTTGTTTTTTTTTTTTTTTTTTTTTTTTTGTAAGTTTTATTGAATAAAAGCAAAATATGTCGGAAATAGCATCAAATTTTAACATAAGTTTTGAATAAGATTTTTTCGAATTGGTCATTTTTGGCACGAATTGTGGCCTTCAAACGGACAATGAAGCTCTATTTGCTTTCTGCGATTTTCATTGATCTTATACTTTTCTGGCAAGAGACCATTCCGAATTGACGAGAATTGTGAAAATCAGTCCAGCAGTTCCTATCTTATATGCGGAACTACTAACATCAATTTCTTTTACATATAGATTTTAACTATTTTGCGATATATCCGATATTTTGGCTATCAGTATCACTATAATGATACTGAACCTTCAAAGTATTTGCGATTTTATCGGGAATAAAAATAATAGCGGTTCAGTTCAAAAGTTTAGTATTCTTTGACATAAAATTATGGTTTAATTTACCCAATTTGTAGACTTCTGCCCAGCCCTAGTCTCTAACTCTATGCAAAATTCCGCGTCGGTTGGTCTATAATGGTGGCCTGTAGAGCAACAGCAAAATCAACAATTTTTTCTGTTTCTTGGCCCATTTGAACCCATAAGTATTATGGGATCATCTCCAAAAGCAATAGGCTATCATAACCCCAACTCCATTTTTAATTTCGTGAGGATCGGGCTATAATTGCGACCTGTAGCATGATTACAAATTAACATGTACAGACGGACGGATGGACATACAAAGCTAGATCGACTCAGCTCGGCGAGATAGGAAGATCCATATATACTCTTCTATGTGGGAAACCAATATTTCGAGGTGTAACATAATTTTTGGCACAATCAAACTTATAAAACCCCCAACACATAGGGTTGCAGAGAAAAAAAAAAACTGGATTTAAAAATAAATTTCGAATGGTTAACAACCTAAAAAAAATATAAAATAAAAACAAGTAAGCAAAGGCTATAGTCGTGCGTCCATGTGACACCCTACAACACTACAATATATTAGAAGCCCCCTTATGTCCAGATCCATTTTGGAAGATTTCGCTTTTGAAATTATGTCACGGAACACTGCTCAAATATTACTCTTAGCATTTTGACAAGCGACATTTGACCAATATTTACGCACTCCGTCGTGCTGTTAGTTGTTGTGGACCATTTTAAAGCAAAATATAATCCAATGAACATCCAAAATCCTAGACTTCCTTTTTTGTCCCAAACTCTCGTCTCATGCAAAATTCCATGTCGATTGGTTCCAATTGCGCGATCAGGAGAATGTTTTTGTTTTTGATTCTTTTGGACTGCTAAATATTTTGCAATCATCTCCAAAAGCAAGAGATCCTTCTGTATCTCGAAATTTAGACTCATCTATATGATTTGCTTGTTCACGATATTTGGTTATATTCGTCAACGAAATCACTATTAAAAAACCAGAATTTCGACTTTTGTGTATTTCGGATGTCGCCTGTAAGTAATGTTGGTATTTTTTACGCAAAAGTGTTGGTCCATTCTACGCGCTGTCCTAAACTCTGACTTCATGCGAGATTTCGTGTCAATTGGTTTATATTTGTTACCTTCATAATGGCTGCAAAATCAGGAACATTTTTAGTTGTTGGTCCATTTCAACCCCTAAATATATTGCGTCATCTTTGGAAATATTAGGCCTAGCCCTTCTGAGCCTAACCCTACCCTTGTGAAAATTTTCGTGAAGATCGGACTATAATTGTAATCTGTATATAATAACCCCAACCTGTGTTGTAAGGTGAAACAATATTACAAAATATACAATTAAAATTGAAAAATCGCGTGCGATAAAAAATATGAACAAATAAAAAAATGTCACAAAAACTGCTAAATATATATTATTGGCATATTTTTAAGCGATTTATTAAGATTTTATTCTTTTATGTCAAGAGGGCATTCTGAATTGACAAAATTTGTAAAAATCGGTCCAGCCATTCGTGAGATATAAGAATACCAGCTAACATCCCCTTCTTTGTGTATATGCATTGTATATATTTCGCTATATATCCGATATATTTACTATTGGCATCTACGTAACGGTCCGAATTGAACTGTTTGTGATTTCGTCGGGATTAAAAATATTCGCGGTTTAATTGAAATTTTGACTTTTATTGAACCTAAATGTTATGGTCTATTTCACAAACTAAATATTACCCGATTACCATTAAAATTGGAAGGCTTCTGCGCAGCTCTAAGCTCCAGTCCCATGCCAACTTCTGCTTCTATTGGTCTATAGTTGCAACCTGTAGATCGACTCCAAAATCAGAAAATTTTTCAGTTTTTGGTCCATTTCAACCCCTAATTATTACGCGATTATCTATTCTGCCTCCAGCCCCATCTTCATATCGGGGCCATAATTGCGACCTGTAGAGTGATTACAAATTACCAAGGACAGACGGACGGACATACATACATAGCTAGATTGACTCAGCTCGGCGAGTTAGGAAGATCCATATATACTTTGCTATGTGGGAAACCAATATTTTGAGGTGTTTCATAATTTTTGGCTCAATCAAACATATAATACCCCCAACACATAGTGTTGTAGGGTATAAAAACACATATGCAGGCCTACGTCTTCGTATACCCCTTTATAACGGAATCTTCAAATATTCGGTATTTTATATAGTTGAGAGACATTACAAACCGCAATTGTTTCAAAATTCGTATTTCAAAATCGTAATGGGCACTACAATCTGTGACAGAAACTTGTCTATGCAAGTCAACGTTTTCATATGAGCCCCATATAACAGTACCTCCCAATATTCGGTATTTTTATAATTTTAAAGACATCGTTTCAAATTTCGTATTTGAAGATCCCTACAAATACCGAATTTTAAAGAAATTCCATAAAAAAATGTGACCATAATCGTCAAAATACCAAATATTCAGGAGGACACAGGCAATATTGTGCTACAAAACATAAAACCCATTACAAACTCTAAACACAACTTTTTAAAGAATTTTATAATATTTGTATACCCTCCACCTTAGAAAGGAGGGTATATTAACTTTGTCATTCAGTTTGTAATATCCCTAAATATTCGTCGTCACCCCATAAAGTATATATTCATGATCAGGATAAAATTCTAAGTCGAATTAACGGTGTCCGTCTGTCTGTCTTTTGAAATCACGATACAGCCCACGTTATTTGTTGTAGAGCGTCAAAATTAAGCAGAACGATTTGTATTGTGTCTAGGACTGTGGGTATTGAAAATGAGATATATCGGTCCACGTTTTGGGGTAATCCCCATATAACGGTACCTCCTAATATTCGGTATTTTGATTATTTTTGCCACATTTTTCACGGATTTGTCTGAAAATTGTTATTTGTAGGTCGTAATGGGTCCTAGTTCGCGTGGCGAAACATTGTATGTATAGGTCCACGTTTTGGTATAGTCCCCATATAGCGGTACCTCCCGATATTCGGAATTTTGATGATTTTTGCCAAGAATATGTCTAACAAGTAAAAAAGCAGTAAGTTCGGCCGGGCCGAACTTTGAATACCTTCCACCATTTGGAACGAATTAGAAAATTTTCAAAAAAATTAAATCCAATAAAAATTCTTTTAAAATCTCATGTACGGATTTTCAGATAATTCCATTGGAAAAAGTGGGTAAAATCATCAAAATACCGAATATCGGGGGGTACCGTTATATGGGGGCTATACGATATTGTGGACCTATATAGATAATTCTCTGCCGAGGTATAAAGTACCCACAAGGAACTCCTTGTGTGGATTTTCAGACAATTCCGTTGGAAAATGTGGGTAAAATCATCAAAATACCGAATATCGGGGGGTACCGTTACATGGGGGCTATACGATATCGTGGACCTATATAGACAATTCTTTTTGAGGAGGTAAAATGCCCACAAGGGACTCCTTTTGTGGAATTTCAGACAATTCCATTGAAAAATGTGGCAAAAATCATCAAAAAACCGAATACCATGGGGGTACCGTTACATGGGGGCTATACGATATCGTGGACCTGTATGGACAATTCTCTGCCGAGGTATAAAGTACCCACAAAGAACTTCTTGTGTGGATTTTCAGACAATTCCGTTGAAAAATGTGGGTAAAATCATCAAAATACCGAATATCGGGGGTACCGTTACATGGGGGCTATACGATATCGTGGACCTATATGGACAATTCTCTGCCGAGGTATAAAGTACCCACAAGGAACTCCTTGTGTGGATTTTCAGACAATTCCATTGAAAAATGTGGGTAAAATCATCAAAATACCGAATATCGTGGACCGATATTGCCCATCTTCGAACTTGACCTGCCTGCAGACAAAAGAGAGTTCTGTGCAAAATTTTAGCTTCCTATCTTAATTCGTCTAGACTGTAGCGTGATTACAACAGACGGACGGACAGGGCTAAATCGTCTTAGAATTTTACGCTGATCAAAGATATATATACTTTGTTGGGTCTTAAATGATTATTTGGAAGAGTTACAAACGGAATGACGAACTTAATATACACTCCATACCTTTTTTGGTGTAGGGTATTAAAATTGGTATTTGTGGGTCAAATGTGTCCTTACCCTAAGGTGGAGGGTATTAAAAGTTCGGCCCGGGCGAACTTAATGTTTTTTACTTGTTTTACCTATACATTTCAAAGTATTGAGCTTTACAATGGTTACACCGAGCTGATGAATTATGGAACTGATTAATACAACAAAACTCTTAACTAAATGAAACATAAATTTTTATTGTTAGGATTTAAGAATCGACAAGCACTGTACCAGGATGGATAGGTAGTTATAAAAATGAACTATGTTGAATGTCTATTTTCAATACAAAGTATACAAAACATATATTTCCAAAAGTGCATGTAAACACTTCTTTAATGGGTAAGTAAATATTTGTAATAACTTTTACACAGTTAATTCTTAAACTGAGTGTTACAATGGATTTTTTTCTACTTAAAAACGAGATTAATTTTTTAATCCACAGGTACAGGGAAGCATTTATACAGGTAGAATTGAAAACGGGAAATTCCACTAATTAACTGTGTAGCTCAGTTTGCCCTTCAAAAGAGAAAGCAATATAAAAGCTACGAAATTCACAAATCAATAACCAGTCCACTTTGAAAATTGAACATACAGGCATCTGACATCAAAATGATAAAATTTCTGGTAGGTTAAAATGAATTTAAATCATTATAACTTAACTTTTAAAAAATAATATTCATTGTTCTAATTTAAATATTACAGTTTATAATTTTATTGTTAGCCGTTGTTGTGACAATGGGCCATGACCATCATAACAGACCACCATATTATGGTGGTAATCACGGTGGCCACCACGGTAGCTATGGTGGTTCTGCAGGCAAACATCATGGTGGTTCCAGTTATCACCATAGAGGATATGGTGAACATCGCGGTGGTTACGGTAGCCATCATGGCGGTCATCACGGTGGCTTTAGCGCCCATGGTTCACATGGTCGTCACCACAAACGACATTAAGACGCCATCACGAGTAATAATTAAATATTATTATATTAACTAATTTTCAAACAATTATCAAAATATTTTAAGAAAATAAAGTAAAATCAATAAAAATTAAATAAGACAATATCTATAAATTATATTTTTATGAAAATCCAAGTAAAAAGTCTGCATCATATAAGGATATAGTTTATTTTAGGAAAGTGAACACTTCAAATGATTGATTTTATTAATATTGTTTAACGCTTTATTTCATTAGATTAAGTGCTATGCATTGAAAGCAAATATGGAAACAACTTCCTAGTGATATATTATCTACATTAGCCTTGATAGCCGGTCTGTGTAATAAGTTTTGAGTATTTTTTAATAGATTCTGTTCAAATTTTTAAGGGCGATTTTTATACCCTACACCACTAAGTAAGGGTATTATGTTTTTTAGCATTTGTTTGTAACAGGAAGAAGAAATCGAGACAGACCCATAGCTACTTTTGAGGATCTACATAAAAATCGCTTTTTGTGTCGATTTATGCATGTCAGTCCGTCCGTCCGTCCATGTATTCTTGTGAGCAAAAAGCTGGTCGCCTTTATTATCCGATTGAAATGAAATTTTCCAAACTGTACACCAAAGGGCCAATAAATATGAATTGTGGAGTAGGGTATCATATAATCGGCCTGCCCGACTTTTGACTTTTCCTTACAGGTTCTATTTGGTGAAAGTCCGGTACTACTACTAAATACGCAGAGTGGTGCAGGGTATTCTATAGTCGGCTCCGCTCGACTTTTGACCCTCCTTACGGCTTTTTATACCCTACACCACAAAGTGGTAATGGTATTATGTCTTTGTACATTTGTTTGTAACATAGAGAAGGAAGGGAGATAGACTCATAGTTACTTTTGGGGATCTTCATAGAATCACTTTCTGAGTCGATTTATGCCTGCCAGTTCGTCTGTCCATGTATTCTTGGGAACAAAATGCAGGTCGCATTTATTATCCAATTGAAATGAAATTTACTAAACAATACTTGTTTGGCACATGGACGAACCTTATTGAAATTGATGATAATCGGATCTGATTTAGATAGACCTTCCATATATCTTCAACCTGTTTTGGCTTATTGTGCACCAAATGGTTAACCTAAGTCCAAATGACCTGTATTTTGGTATATCCCACCTAATTCATTCTAGAAGCAAGTGCATATATATGTTTCATCCGATATGGTGTTTAAGTCCCTCACATTAGTGACCACAATGATATTTGGTACCAGAGCTCTTATAGAGCTCGCAAATACCTCTGCCAAATATTGTCAAGATCGGTTGAGATTTGGATATAGCTCCCATATACAGGGTGAGATGAAAACCAGTAAGGAAAGCTCAAAAGTCGGGCGGGACCGACTATATGATACCCTACACCACTATGCATATTTAGTAGAGCTCTCCTAAAAAGGTTTATACAGGGCATTTCAGAGCTCTATGAGATATTTGGTACAAAATCAAAATCTATCTAATTCTATCGTGCATTTTACGAACTATAGCTATCTCTGAACCGGGTTTCTCCAAATTTTACGTATTAGCTTCTAGACTGAATTCGGTCTTATGTACGAAAATTCAGGTGATTTGGGCTGATATTGATAATTTAGTGCACAATTAACCTGAAATCGATAGAATAATGTGAAGAGTATGCTATGCTATATCCAAATCTGAACAGATTTTGATAAAATCAAAATCGACTATTTTTGGGCTTTATCTGATATCTGGTACCAAATATCATTCCTGTGAAGAGTATATTACGAATGTAAGGGACTTAAAGAGCAAATCGGATGAAACATATATATGGGAGCTAGAGCTATATCTGAACCAATTTTTACTAAAATTTGTGTACTTGCTTATGGCTGGTTTCGGTCGGATTTGCCAAAATTCATGCCATTTGGGCTGAAATTGGCCATTTGATGTACAATTAACACGAAATCGGATGAAGATATATATGGGAGGCCTATCCAAATCGGAACAGATTTTAATAAAATTAAAATCAACCATTTTTGGGCTTTATCTCATATCTGGTACTAAATATCATTCCTGTGGAGTGCATATTACGAATGTGAGGGACTTAAAGACTAAAGATATATATGGGAGCTATAGCTATATCTGAACCGATTTTTACTAAAATTGGTGAACTTGCTTCTAAGCTGGTTTCGGTCGGATTTGCCAAAATTTATGCTATTACGGCCATTTGGTGGTCAATCACCCGAAATCGGATGAAGATATATATGGGAGCTATATCCAAATCTGAACCAATTTCGATAAAATTGAAAACAGCTATTTCTGTGCTCCATCTAATACCTGGTACCAAATATCACGGTTGTGGAGTGCATAGTAGGAATGTGAGGGACTTTAAGAACAAATCGGATGAAAGATATATATGGGAGCTATAGCTATATCTGAACCGATTTTCTCCAAATTTGATATACTTGCTTCTAGGCCGATCTCGGTTGGGTGTGCCATAATTCAGGTAATTTGGACTGATAGTGGACATTTGGTGCACATTTAACCTGTATTCGGATGAAGATATATATGGGAGCAATATCTAAATTTCATCCGATTCTCACCAATTTCAATAGGGTTCGAAGGGTTTGAAGGTTCTCAAAAGTACCTATGGGTCTATCTCGTTTCCTTCTCCATGTTACAAACAAATGCACAAAGACATAATACCCTTACCACTATGTGGTGTAGGGTATAAAAACTGCAACCAACTTCAGACTGCTGTAATTTCAAATTCACTCGTTTGACGGCTGTTTAAATTATTTCAGTGACAGCTCATTAAATTGTTTACAAACATACAAAAGCATTTGGTAAGAATTTGTCAGAAAAAAAGTTATTCGGGATGGAATTTAAGGGTGATGGTGTAACTTCTTTATATTTAGCTAGCTATCGTTGGAGCACTCCAATATTTAAATGTGAACAAATCTTTTTTGTCTCGTACCATCGCTCGTTACCGTGATACTGGTAGCGTAGCCCGACGTCAAGGAAGTGGACGGAAGAAAACAGAAACATCAGCAGAAATGGTTCGAAAAGTAAAAAAGCGACTTGATCGAAACCCGCGTCGCAGTGCCCGAAAAATGGCTCGTCAGCTGAACATATCGCAATATTCAATTCGGCAAATATTGAAAAATGAGTTCGGTGTAAAGCCATTGAAATTCCAAAAAGTGCAAAAACAACAACAGAAAGAAAATAGACTCAAAAGTGCTAAAGAATTGTTCGCTTGGCTGAAAGTGGTGAACTGCCGAATTAATTTTTCTCCGATGAGAAAACTTTCGTTGTCCAGCAGTTTGTAAACAAACAAAATAATGGTGTTTACTTGCCAAAGAGTTCAGCTAATAATGTGCACCTTCGGTTGGCCACCAGAACTCATGCACCGGCCATGGTGATGGTGTGGGCCGCCATAACAGCTACTTGTATTAATCGACCGTGGCATCAGAATATTATTGCGAAAATATTCTGGAGGGTGTATTAAAGCCTTGGGCACGCAAACATTTTGGTCTTGGACATTTTGACCTTGGACATTCCAACAGGACTCAGCACCATCGCCCTCAGCACGCGCCATCCAAGAATGGTTACAAAATTAGGTTCCTTACTTCAATGGCCACCAAAGTTTTCGGTCACAATGGTCACCAAATCTAAAGTTATTGTAAAATTTGATGCTATTTCCGACAAATTTAGCTTTCGCGAAAATATTCTGGAGGGTGTTTTAAGGCCTTGGGCGCAGACCTTCGACATTACAACAGGACTCAGCACACGCCAACCAAGAATGATTACAAAGTGAGATTCATCGCTTCATTTCCAGCGCACAATGGCCACCAAAATCTCCGGATACCAATCCGTTGGACTATTGTGTCTGGAGTATTTTGGAAAGCAAGGTTGGCACTAAGAAATACCAAAGTGTCGACCACCTCAAGCAAGCGCTTCGCCCGGAATGGGAAAAATGCACCAGAGCAATATTCGAGCATCATGTGACGGTTTCATTGACCGTTCGAAGGCCATACTTTGTGCCAAAAATCCTTCAAAGAAGTAAAATCTGGGGGTAGGGTTCTATGGGAGCTATATCAATTTTTTGACCCGTATTAACATTAATTTTCAAGGACATCAGGTATCTATTAAGAACACCAGGTGTCAAATTTCAGTCCATATCAATTAAAAATTTACCTAAAATCCTTAAATTTCTTTAAATCTTTTTTATACTGGAGCCTCTATATGTTTCTCCCCAGTTTTATGCAAATCAAATACCAGCGACCCTACATACATATCCTATTAGATTAACATTTGGATCATATGATAAAGTTTCAAATAGAATAAAATGGTTATGGTATAAGGTATCATATCGACGGCCTGCGCGACTTTTGCCACATCGCTCCCACGAAGGACGGTTTTAAGTGTTCAATAAAATATTCTAATAGTAAAATCAATCATTTTCAGTTAATTGATAACATTTCCTCAAACTAATACTCTGATTGGATGTTGTGCACACGAAACATTCATCTTTACTGCTCCCTTAACAACGTCGAATGTTTATCTCCAAGATAACGGAAAGTCATCATGGAGAGTGTTTACAGCGTCAACAGATCGTAACATAAAGTAATATAAGAAACACGTCAAACAAAAGAATGGACAAGAATGTCCTGGTGTTGTAAATTCTTGCCAACTTTTGTGCGCTGTTGCGTGCTGCTGAAAGGCATGACTGAAATCCAGTTATTAAAGTTGTGGTAATAAACTTCGCCATCATTTGAAGGGGAGAAAATTTGAAATACCATTTAGTTTATTTGCAGTGTTGCTTTCCGTTACTATAGCTGAAGTTTCGTCCTCCAAAGCAATCAAGGTTTTACAAAAAGTTATTGCATCAAAGTCAAATGACTGCTGGCATATACTGTGAGTTATTAAAGAATCATGGTGGTTGGCCATGATAGTTGAACATCGCCCTGGACAACACCTGGACGGTGTTACAGGTAATGTGACTTTATGGGGATATTGCCTGAATTTTGATGTCATAATTGCGATTGACTTACTTTGGACAGGACATTAACTGGATGATTGAGTTTTTAACTGAATGACATTTGTTTCAAGGCTCTTCATCATCATAGTTGGCGAAAGAATCAAACTTTCATC